ATATAAATCTATATCAATCTGTTCATATCTATAAATCTTTCTTTAAATATAATTGTTTCTTTCAATCTATTAGTATATTTCTGTCTATCTATCTATCTATCTATCTATATATATATATATATATATATATATATATATATATATATATATATACATACACACATATATATACACACATACACAAATTTATATATATCAGTATTCCTATTTATTTTCTATGTATCAATCTGTTGATATCTATCTATCACTATTTAATTTTTCTTTCTATCTATTTTCCAATTATCAGTATATTCTTTTTCTATCAATAAGTATGTTCTTTCTGCTAACATCTATCTATCTATCTACCTACCTATCTATCTATCTACCTATCTAACTGTCAGTATATTCTTTTTCTCCTTCTGTATATTTGTCTGTGTATTCTTCTATCTTAAGATGGATAGCATTATCTTCTTTTTATTTTATCTATCAGTTCATCTATTAAACTATCTATCTATCTATCTATCTATCTATCTATCTATCTATCTATCTATTCATTTCTTTCGATCTTTCTATCAGTATATTCTTTTCCTTTCTATCAGCATATTATTTTCCTTTCTTTCTTTCTATTTATATATCTATCAGTATATTTTTATCTATATAGCAAGATATAATAGATAGATAGATAGATAGATAGATAGATAGATAGATAGATAGATAGAGAAAAGAGAGGGAGAGAGGCAATGGATATACTGTTAGATAGATAGATAGATAGATAGATAGATAGATAGATAGATAGATAGATAGATAGATACCGAAATAGAAAGAAAAATAATATACTCATTTATTTTCTTTCAATCAGTCATTATACACTTCTCCTTTCTTTTTTTCTTTCTGTCTGTCTGTCTGGCTGTCTGTCTGTCTCTCTGTATATATATATATATATATATATATATATATATATATTCTTTCTGTCTATCTATCAGTATATTCTTTTTCGTTTTTTCTTTCTATCTATCTGTATTTGCATTACTATATTTTGTTTCTCTCTGTTTATCTATCAGTATATTATTTTTCTTTCTTCTATCTATCTATCTATCTATCTATCTATCTATCTATCTATCAGTATATTCTTTTTTTTTATTTATTTCTATGTATATGTATCTCAATCTGTTTATGTCTATTTATCTATCAGTATATTCTTTTTCCTTATATCTATATATCTATCAATTTATGTATATCATTCTTTTCATATCTATCTATCTGTATATCCTTTTTCTTTCTAGCTTATTGTCGATCCTTATATTCTTTCTTTCTCACTGTCTCTCTTCTCTCTCTCTCTCTCACACACACACACTCTCTATCTATCTATCTATCTATCTATCTATCTATCTATCTATCTATCTATCTGTTTCAGGCTATCTTTTTTCATTTATTCTAATCGATCTATTTTTCTCATAAGCCACTTATATCTTCCCATTTTATTTCGTTTCATTATTTTGTCCACAATCTCTGAACCCCGTTAAGGATTGGGTTTATGATTTCTTTATATTCTTACTTGGTACATCTTTTAAAATATTCTCTTTCACTCACTCCCTTGCGTCTTAGTGGTATGATAACCTTGCCTGGGATGAAATGATTAAAAAAAATAATTATTCCATGTTAGTTTATTTTAATTATTATCGTCTGAACGAAGTCTATTTTCCTGAAAATCTATTTTAAGAAAATGATTTTTATAAATGACAGTAACGTTAGCACTTGGATCAACGAATTTCAATTTTTTACTGTATCGTCAACATAATCCCACTCATCAATATAATATCGTTTCTCTTCAAAATTTGACGATAGTGAGAATAATCTTCGAAATATTTATTTCTTAAATATAATTCTTTGTTTCCGCAGTTAAAATATGGTTTGACCCCTGTTGTCGGATCCGCCATTAATCTTTATACATTTTCTTTCCCTATAGTGTAATGACGTTTATATATCTACTGGGTTATCAAATTTTGTAATCAGATTAATTTTTAGATTCAAATTAGTGGAAGGGTGTAAATAGGAAGATTATTTTAAGATTATCAGTCAAGAAGTACAGAAAAGCTGTCTTAGAAATCATCAAATATTCCCTCAGTTCGAACGTGCGGCGCCAACGGAAAACGGAGAAACATGATTAAGCCAACCCCTTGCCTAGATTTTCAAAATTAGTGATATGTGTGGTGGTGGGGGTATGGGTGTGTGTTTGTAAGGACCTGTATATATATGCATATGCATATATATATATATATATATATATATATATATAAATTCCTTTTAGTATTATTATATTTTTGTGAATATATATATATATATATATGTATCGTGTATACTAATATACAATAAAATATCATAAAATGATATATATATATATATATATATATATATATATGAATAATAAATAGAGATAGAAATAAAAATTAAACGAAAAATACAGAGATATATATATATATATATATATATGAATAATGTATGTAGAGATAGAAATAAAATT